TACGCTACCGTCTGCAGCTTCTGGCGTCCAATGTATCAATCCCCGGAGGCTCCAAACGCAAGAACAAGCACAGGAACGGCGGTACAGCGCCCACAATCCCCGTCAAATTCCTAGACGCTGACAGCCAAGAGATTAACGCCAAGACGGCGACTGTGGGTGACGCACTGATGCGCACCAAGCGCCTCCAGGTCGGATCCGAGACCTTCATAGTACTCCACAACCAGCCGGTAGTGACGGGACTGAAGGTTCTGGAGCCCGTGATGGCTGGTATTACAGTAAATCCTCTACTTGAGACGCAGTTCTGCACTGCAGACGCGTGTACGTGGCGCTGGTTTCGTCGTGGCAAAGGAGAGGAGAGCGGTGGGACATTAGTGAGCTCTGAGAGAAGATACACACCGACACAGGAGGAATTAGGCTGCACATTCTACGTGGAGTGTCATGCGCCAACGATGCAGTCGGAGTATGCAGGAGACAGCAAGGCAGAGACCGTCACGGCGTCTGTACAGCCAGGACCCAATCGAGACGTGTTCAAGGAGAGGCGACAGATGGGAGAAACCAGTGCTGCTGACAAGTATCCTGATGCTAATGAAGCTTTCCGAGTCATGAGCTATAACGTGCTGTATGACGGCTATGCAACCTCAGACCACGCCAAGAAGGACTTGTTCTCGTATGTGGATGACAGTGTCATGAAGGAGACGCGTCGGATCCAGCTCATTCTCCAGGAAATTGAGGAAAACAACAGCGACATCGTCTGTCTTCAAGAGATGGGAGAACACATTTACAAGTTGTTTTTTGAGCCGATGCTGGCTTCGATCGGCTATCATGGATTATACTCGGACAAAACTGGAACGACCAACGAAGGCTGCGCGACGTTCGTCAGAACTTCACGCTTTGAAGTGATCAAAGAAGGCACTTTAAACCTTTCGATTGCCGTCAAGAACTCGACAAACCCAGCAGCACAGAGTCTTTTACAGGACTTTCCAGAACTTGCCAAGGGTATCGACCGTATCCCGTCGATCGCACAGTTGCTCGTCTTGCGATCCAAACTTGACCCAACTCGAACTCTGATTCTCTCGAACACTCATCTGTTCTATCGGGGAGATGCACATTTGATCCGGCTGCTGCAAGGTGCTACGGTGGTAGACACCGTAAGTCAGCGAAAAGCTGAGCCAGGCTTCGAAAACGCAGCTGTTGTCATGTGTGGAGACTGGAACGCACACCCTCGCTCAGCGCTCGTAGCTTTCCTTCTAGATGGACAGATCGACTCAAGCCACAGACACTGGCAGCAAGCCCCGTCTTTCCGCTGGAACTTGTCTCGAGTTGAAGAGAACGAAGCTAATGGTAGTGTGGTAAGCACTGAGGTCCGTCCGAATCGCTTTGAGCATGCGCTTCAACTCGTGAGCGCGTGCGGCATCCCGGCATTTACGAATTATGTGACGAGTTTCGTGGACACCCTGGACTACGTTATGGTCGGATCCAAGACGCTGCAAGTTCGTGACGTGTTCCCTTTATTCACCGAGGAGGAAGTGACGCATGAAGTTGCACTACCGTCGTCCACCTTCCCGTCAGACCACGTCTCACTTGTCTGTGATTTAACATGGTGAATTCACAGTATGCAGCAACCTGCTAGAATAAATTTGGCCTTAGTATTGCCTCCAGGAAACAACTATTTTTGCTGCTAAGCCTGTCACTTCGAGATTTTATTGTGGAGCTCTCAATATGGGCTTGAAGAAGGCTCCGCTGTTGGGGTCTTCAGCTTCTATTGAGGAGACTGGACTATCCGTGATCGAGGGGGATCGTAGTCTCCTTAGCCACTTCGGTTCACACACTGTCAGACAAGACGACACATTGAATGTTGCAGCGAGAAAGTCTGCGGCTATCCGACGTAACGTCGTTGCAAGAGGCTTAGCGAGACAGTTTAGCGACCAGAAAACACGAGAAGAAAGTCTCAAACCTCAAGTCACTCGGCATCAACTTCAACAGAAGATTTTAAAGAACTACCAGCGACATCAAGCGCAACGTTTAGCCAACGAGAAGCGAGTGAAGAACCCAGAACGTCACGAAGATTCCGCCGAAGAAGACGATTTCAGTCAAAATGTGATCTTAAAGGTGCCCAAACGAACAAAATCAGCTCCATCCAAGGCATCAAGCCGCACACGTCGTATGTCTCCTATCGTACCACCAAAAGGAGCGACGAGTTTCTTACGCAACACCAGAATGCGTCAATTTTCCGAGAATCAGGACCAATTACAGTCCGACGATGAAAGATCGAGAGAGTCTGATCAAGGCGTGGTCACTACTAGGCTCAAACTGTGTCCGAGTGAGTCAGATATCCCAAATCTGAAACCAGTACAACCGGTGTCTAGCTCAAGAGTGCAGAAGTTCAAGGAGAATATAAAGACGGATGCTCAGAGCTTCACAAATGGACTAACACCGTGGCTATCTCAAGAGAACAGGTCGTCACAAATTGTTCTTCGCGAGCTGGCAATCACGAAGGACATTATGATGCGGGAGCAACTTGTTCGGCAGTTAAAGCAAGCGCTACCGACGGTCGAGACGCTTATCAGAGACTTTCTCAAAGCCCAAGATGATCTCAAACAGGCTGAAGGTGCACTGGAAGCGGCAAAAACGTCTCCAGCTCGTATGAAGAAGACGGGATCGCTGATCGGGCTAACAGCGACACCAACTGAAGTTGACCAAGTCCAGAACGCTCTGACTGAGGCGGAAGGGATGGTTACTGAGGCGACAACTCGCTTAACAGAGCTATCCAAGAGAATGAGCTACCACGTTCAGCATGTGGAAATACTGATAAAAGGCTTCCAGCAGTCGACTCTCTGTGTCGTGGAGGGGATCCTGGATTGGCGGCAGTTGAGACAGCGACGAAGACAATTGAGTAATTTCAAGCGTCTTTTTCGCTTCCCGTGGAGGATACAGAAGATTTCCAATTATCTCGTACATATCGATGACGATTTACGTGTGTTGTTCCCTTCTGTAGCCCTTGAGGTGCTGCTTGGTCCGAAGGCGACGTATACTCCACTCTTATTGTCAAGAAAAGTGATTAAACTGCTTAAAGTATCATCGACTGGGAAGACTTTTCTGACGGAAAAAGAAGAGTGTAGTGCAAATATTCGCGTTGATAACGAGTCTGTACCACCCGAACGGAGTGAGAACTGTACGAACGCGGCGGATGATGCAAGGATTCAAGCTGCTCTACCGAAATCTGTCAAGCGAAACTCGTCTGTATTCGACCACAATCGTCTTCGACAGTGTCTAGAGGCGATTTATCAAGAGAAACGTCTTGAAGCATTGGAGAGACAGCGATGTGGTGAAGAAGAAGTGCGAGTTCAGAGCACATATGATCCGTTCTCAACGATAAAATCAGCGGGTGGAGTGGAGGAAACTTTGAGTAACTTGATGACTATACAGTCGCCACATTCGCAACTACTTGGAGAGCAACTTCGTATCCGCCAAGAGGACACTAAACGAATTGCTATTTCGCCTTCTATGCCACAAACTGATCAAACTGATACACACAATGAAGTTCTTCAAGTAAACCCTGAACGTTTGCGACTTTTCTTCGAGAAACGTGCGGCTTTACTCGAGTCTTCAGCCGATTGCGAACTCCGTGACACTCAACCTCGCGGCCAGAAAAATAAATTACGGGGGAAAATAATGGTGCGGAAGAACAATGAGAAACGAGTGGAGAACTATTTAGCACGGAAGATCCAGCTCCAGTATCTGGCACATCGTCAACGCCACGCGATTCAAACTAATCTGACCCAATTCGTTCAAAAGATTCAAGCCAGTGTGGTTGACATCCAGCGAGTATTCCGTGGACACCGTGCCAAATGTGACTACAAGTGTATGAGGAGCTTGTGGCTGGAGCACAGACAGCAAGTAGCTGCTGTTCGTACCATCATCAACTCGTTCCGACGGCATCGACGACGTCAGCGTCACCGACGCTCGATGACTGTCGAGTCTATTGCTCAAGTGCAACTCATCACTTTGCTGGCTCATAAAGTGAATGATCCGGACCAAGATGCAGAGAAATATAGACGTGTGGGTGAAGAGAGACGTCGTCAGCGGATTGTGTTACTTCAGAAGCACAAAATGGAGCAGCAAGAGTTGCAACGGCAACGTGTTGCCGCTGCTATTCGGATGCAAGCCGTGGTACGTGCTCATTTGGCCCAGGGACAAGCAAAACTATTAAGACAAGAGAAGAAAGCGCACATGAATGCTGTCAGTGCGATGGCGATTCAGTCGACGATCCGAAAGTTTTTGAACACTCAACAGGAGCGACGACAGCGTTTTCGGAAAGATCTGGAGCGTGTGAACCAGTCTGCAGTTCGGATCCAGTCGATATACCGTGGATACAACTCACGATCGAGTCTTCTGGGTCAACTAGGTGAAACCACGCGTCAAAAACTAACCAGTGTTAATA